CAATGGTGTTGTTAAACTGGAGTATAAAAATAATTTGGCAATCTGATAAAAGGCTGATCTGATAAAAGGCTGATCAGTAGAAGGGATTTTTTTTGGTCATTAACCCTGAAAGACCAAATACATTTTAAACCTTCTGCTTAACGTTTGTGCCATGTAGTACCTAAGTGTTTGTAAAATATTTAGCATGATCAAATTTCACATTTCATTTTAGACCATTTGAGCACCCAGAATGTGATAGGAAGAGGGCGTCTGTGGAAGAAACGCCTGCCTTTATGCGGTGGCAGGTGTGAATTATAAACGTACCTTTTTCTTTAAGATGAGCATAAAGGAATTATTTTCTCTCCTATGAGCAAAAGCAAGTACAAGCAAGTGTAATTAAAACCCAAAACAACACAAACTTCTTTCTGACCCATTCGCAGTAGTTTTGAAGAAGAGAAGGAGAACAGAGTAGTCTGTGTTTCCACATGAAACTATTTCTTACTTCAACCAGAAATCAGACATACATTTTTCCATGTTCAGAAGAAAGAGTTTATTTTATTTGGTTCTTTTAAGCTGGTATTGCTGCTCCGTAATGTAAAAACAAACAAATAAACAAAACCTTTCAATCAAAGATCTTGTTCAGGCTGGGATTGGAGATTATTTCGCTGAACAGATAAAACATGGTAAAACCTCTATTTGACCATAAACATATATACTTATTTTTCTGTACATAATTAGTGAAATAATTGCTGAATTAACTGTGGGAGGTGGTGTAATATGTCCTAACCTGCTTCTTTTAAAGCTTTGGATATCTTGTATGATGGCTATCAGATATAGCCATGTACTTTCTGGGGGTTTTTAAAAACAAAATGGGTTGCAGTCTGTGTCAAAGAATGGTCTAAACAAGTATGTAGAGGGATATTTTTTTGAAAGGATTGGTGTTTGCTAGAACAGGGAAGAATTGTTGAACCTATTAAAATATTCACCATTGGAAGATCATAAGCAATATACTGTTTTGAATTTGGTGGAAGTAGAGTGAGGCTGAATTGAGTAGAACTGAGATAATGAGGAGACAGCAAAATATTGAATATATAATGTGTAATGCAGGCTAGTTTGACTGGGTACCTTTATAGCTAGCAGCTAAATGTGATGATGCACATTATTCATAATTTAGAACTTCACGTTCCCTAAAAATGTAAAGCTACTTTTAAAATGTGATTTCACAGAGCTAAATGAAAGACCGGTTCAAAATGCATTAAGGAATAAGAATGTGTAGCTGGAACTCAGTGATCTTCTTCTTTTGTTGGAATGAATTTCTAATATTATTTTGGTGTAAGTAAATGCCACATCAGGAGAAAAATAGTAATTCTCTGGTATATCAGTCTGGCTGGGGCTCGCCTTATCTTAGATGGTTCAAACAGATGTCAGGGTAAAAGATACAGCTGTATTGCTCAGGAGAAGTTCCCTGGCGGTGTGCTCAGATGGCTCATTTGGGGTGGGAAGAGTTGCTCCCTGGAGCTGCAGTATTTTTTCATTGATTGTACAGGAACCTGGCTGTCAACAGAAGCAGGAGCAGGGGACTGCCACCTGCTGCAGGTGCTTCCCAGCTCCTGGGACTGCGTGTGACCTTCCCCCAGCTGTATTCCATCAGGACACCATGCCCTCCTGGTCCCTTTCCCTTGCTGCCTCACAGGGTGGTGGTGTCTGTGGCAGCAAGTGGTCTGGAGGTATACTCTTGCCACCAACCTTCATTGCTTCCATGCTTCTGTGTCAGTGACCCCCACGGAGCAGACTGGTGCCAGCATGGAGCAGGGAAAGCAGCCGGGCTCTGGCTTATGCAGATGCTGCCATGGGGCTGTGGAGCAGGAGCCAGTGAAGCTTGCCTAGAACTTGCTGTGTGAGACATGGCAGTAGGGCCATGCTTCATGGTTGGAAAATGCCTTCCAGTTCTGTGGAAAACTTGTGTTTTCTCCAAGGCCTTGTAACCACGCTGAAGTCAGGCACAACTGTTGACTTCAGATGATGTCATTGGTGTGGCGCACTCATTCCTGAATGCTCCCTCTGTCAGCTCGTGTTTACTGTGCACTCAGTGACTCCTGGTTTGCTTCCATACCCAGTGGACTGAGCTTTTAATTTATTGTGTTTAAATTTTTTAGTAGGGATGTCATGGAACTACGCTGAATCAAGATCTCTCTGAAACCTTATGCGTTCCTGCTTTTGTGGATGTTGCGCTTCTCCTTCTGGTTCTGCAAGACCAGAGTTTCATCAGACTCTAAATCTCAGCAGATTTTAAATGTGCAGCATTTCCTTTGAGGGAACTGTCAGATTTTATTTTGAGATACACTGATCAAAGATAAGATGAGTTTAGAATAATAATATTTACAAATACTAGAGTAAGAAGCATTTGATTTTATTGAGGCATACTCCAGAGAAAATGCCAAGTGACATAAATACAGCAAGACTGCTGTTTAATTGTTTAAATGCCTATAAGAAAAAAGCCTTTATGAAAATACTCAGCAGGTTTTGATCAGAAGCTTTTACTCATGGTCTGAGATCAGACAGCTGTGCTCTTCTCAGCTAACCTTGAGTGGTGTGGTAATGCAGGTGGGCTCTCTGCCTTTTCCCCTGTTAGTCAAAAATCTCCACACAGAGACACTTCCTTTTCCTGTGAGGAAAGATGAAGTTTAGTCTTTCTCAGACAGAAGTCCATCAAATACTTTAGCTAGAGATATGTACGCACACGCTGACTTGTATGTTACCATTCCTCTGGTTGTGCAGAGGAGTAGGAAGGCTTCTTGCTGTGAGGATGACTGATAAACCCATTCTTCCTCTCTCTAGCAGCTCCAGCCAAGCTGTGAAAACCTGAGACTACTCTGCAAGCAGGAGTATTTACTTCTAAAATGATTTGTAGTTGTGTTTTCAGAGCAGTAAAAAATATCATTCTTACACTCAGTCTAATGTGTTTAATATTCTTGTGTTGCCTCCAGTGAAGCACCCTTAGCAGGAAGCCCTTTCATTGAGACGGTGTGTGTTTTTTGTGCCTGTGTACAGTGATGGCTGGAGTGGAAGGTGTGGGAAGCTTTCTGTTAGAGCTGACATACAAGGCACAATGGTCAGTGCAGGCTGGGTGGTGAGCACTGGGAATGCTTTTGCTTTAGTGAAGCTGGAGAACATGGAGTGTATTCAAATATACTTGCACTTGAGACTTACTTTGGATGCCATTGTGTCAGATCAAAAGTGCTCTATCTGTAAAAACAGAAGTCTTTTTTTCCCTTCCTTCTTTGCATCCTCTTGGCATTTTACTCTGAATTACTTCAGTTACTGCAAGGTTATGGTGAATGCTTAAAAAAATTAGTACTTTTATCAGTGATTGTTCTTTATGGGTTTTTTTGACAGTATTCATGAGGCTAATGTTTGCTACAACAAATACTAACAAACAGTTAATAGCTTGAGTGAATATTGCTTCCTGGTGGCTCAGGAGCACTGGGAATATGTTGGGTAAAAACCTGTTCAGCAGGTTTTTGGAGAAGTGAGCTTGGCTCTTCCCTTCAGACTTTCAAAACCAGCTAGCATTGAAGGGTTCAGTCATTGTGTCCTGAATGACCAGGGTGACAGTGCTGCTCTGGTGGCACATACATCCTAGAAAATGTGCTTTCCGTAGAAAAACATCATCACTTCAATTTCTCTGGTGTAAGCCTGACTACTGCTTATGTACTTTTCATGGTTCATATTAGAGAATGTTAGATAAATTACCTTTGGAAAGATGCTTTTCCCACCTTGAGTATTACCCTAGGTGGAAAAAGCCTGTCTTTATTTTTTGGTATCCCAGTGCTATTTTTTGGTATCCCAGTGAAACAGAGACCAGACTGCATTATGATACTTTTGGAAGGGGGTGGGATTGAGCAGCTGCCCACTCTCAAGTAGGCTGTTGGTCTGGGCATTGCCTGGAGATGCCAGGGACTGGGCTCAAGCTGGTCTATCCACCTGTAATGGTTGTCTTTTCTTCACTTGGTTACTGCTGTTTCGTTTTACTCTGTTATTTACTGGGCTGAAAGGGAGGGAGCCAATCTATAGGTAGAGTGCAAGTCCAGGATGTGATTGTTCTCTTGTAACAGAAGGGTTTGTGCAATTTAATGGGTTATTATTTGTTCTGAAGTGAGTGTAGACCTATGTTTCAGTGCCTCTTGAGTTAAAATAGGTGCATTTGTCCAACGAACAAAAATATTTGATTTCAGTGATTGGCCTTTTTATACAGAGACGGGTTTTTGCTGAAGACTTGCTGGTGAACTGTAATTTGTAGTATTTTCTGCAGGTGTGGATTTAATGGATGGGCTGATGAAAAGAATCCTTACAATCAGCAGAGTAGTGGCTCTGGGAGCTAATATTGGGCTCGAACATCTGGTCTTTATAGAGGGAAGGCTTTCAGTGTGTTTGACTCCTCTGAATTACTTGCCAGCTGTGCCAGGGTAGCACAGACAGGCCTGGAGCAGCCTCAGTGCCTCCCAGCAGGCAGCTTGGGATAAGCCCATATGAAGTCAGAACCCAGGGCTTGAGCCTGTTGCATATCAAGCAGCACCCAGCAAACCCTCAGTCCTTGGTGTTTTGTGTGACAGGTGAACATCCTGGTTTCACTGTGTTGTACGCAGACGTACACGCACCACCTGACATCACTTGAAGGGCCATGGGATAAAATAAAAATTCATAGCAGAAATTAGCCTTGGTAGACATAAGAAAACTGTATCCCAAGTCCCCCTCTTCTATTTCACAGTACTTTTCCCTCAAAAAATAAAAATGCACTAAAGATGGATTCGGAGCTGCCATGCATGGATGGATGGATATTAGTCTTTAGCTTTAAAACTAATTTAATTATTGTCAGCTGCCCTTGGGTATGGTTGTAATATCCACTGGTTTTGTAAACAGTTTTGGCAGTGTTGTTTGCTGAATAATTTCTTAGCATAATAATTTTTCTGCCACTAATTAAAAGCATCTTTGTAACCCTAGGTTTTGTTTTCTTCTTACAGCAAAGAGCTCCAGGGAAAGTTTTGCATGATGCTGTTTGCAGCCACCTCAACCTTGTTGAAGGCGACTATTTTGGCCTTGAATTTCCAGATCATAAAAAGATGATGGTATGTAAAAGGATTTGTTTTCAGCTGGTTTTCATCTGCATGCACACTGTTTTCTCTCCTTCTGCTCCTTACTTGTAAGATATATTTAATCCTCAGTCTTCAAAAGGGGAAGGGACTTCTAAAAAATAATTGTTCTTGCCTAGTGGAGTTGAAGAAATGTTTTTAAAACCTGATTATTCCTGTAAAATTTTATCTGCATTGAAAGTAATGGCTAATTCAGACACAAGCTGGGAAAGTGTTTTGTTTTTCTAAGTTGCTGTGCAGAAGCCAAGGCTGGACTGTCAAGGCCTCAGCTCTTGATTTTATAGTCCTGCTTGATTTGGAGTGCAGAAATAAACTTTCTTTGCTGATAGAAAAGTTGCAATGATTGTGTCATGAAAAACATTATGGAGTAAGAAAAGGGTTAGATAAAATATTGCAAGGTTAATAAAAAGGAAAGCAATTCCAAGAACGCCCCCAGAAATGGATGGGAGTCCTTTCTGGGGAGCTGTGTGGTACAGGCGGTGTCCTGGTCCTGACACTCAGGAATCTGAGATCAGTTCAGGCGTTGCACTGCCCATATCATGTACCAGAGAATGCCATAGGCTGATGACTTCTTAGTCTTTAATGACTTTCTTTTTGAAGTTTGTTTTATTTTAGACTTACCATGTAACCTACTAGCATGGGTGCTAGTTACCTGGATTGCTTTCCTAGTACATTCTGATGTACATTGGATTTCATGCCTGTTAGGTGACTTTTGCACCAGTAGCCTGGATGACCTGAAAGAGAGGATTTTGGCCAGTTGATAAGTAAAAACAAAACACATCTATGTTCTTTCCATCTAGCTAAAATATGCATAAGGAGCAATATTTCTTGGTGAAATGAACAGTAGGAGTCTTGTCTGTCATGCCTTAGTGCAGGCATTAGACAATAGACATTAAAACAGAAAGCTAGTGATCATAGTGTTCTAGGCTAACTATAGTTAAACAGGATGCTTTTTTAAATGGATGTCAATCTTTAGAAGGGATCTGCTTCACGGTGTGCTGCTGGAATTACATGAAGCACACTTCACTAGAAGGGTTAGCATTCTGCCAGATACCCTTGGCTAATGCTTGAGGTAACTTGAGAGCTTAATGTAACTTCACTCAGCAGTGGAACTGTGTAGTAGCATTGCAGCAGAGGGTCCATGTAGCTGTGTTAATAATGGCATTCTGGAATTATTGATGTGTGTATGTAAAACTGAAACAAATCCTAACATCTTTTGTGTATACAGTTGCCTTTTAGATTTCTAGAAAATAGAGAAGGTCATTTGATCAACCTTCTCTACTTCACAGGTCATTAAGTTTTAAATAGATGACTGTCTGCATTTTGCTCAGAGACCTGAAGTAAACTAACAGTTTTCAGTCTTGTGAAAACAAAGTGGTTTATTTGCTGGAGGCAGAACACAGGAGAGATTGAGGTGCTGCTGCTGCCTGAGGCCCTCATGGTGGCAGGAATTGACTGGCTGCAAATTGGTCCAGACAATCACAGTGGGGGATGCGGGGCTCTGAGGAAGAGGAAGGTGGACAAACCCCCCGAAGCACAGTGCCAGTTTGACCTGAAGGAAAATGCTTCCATGCACTGAGCATGGTAACTCATCTGGCCCCTGCTCTTGCAAAGGGAAGTACCAGCCAAATATCTGAGAGTACCAGTCCGTGTTCTTGCTGGTCGGTCCAGTCTTTGCTTCTGAAAAATGGGGAGCTCCGCAAACCTTGCCCATATCTAGTCAGCTGTGCCCCGAGAATGGTGAAATTCAGTGGAATTAATGCCTTCAACCACCCGAAAGCAACTCACAGAAAATCTGAAGCAGAAGATTTGATTATGAATTGTTGTTTCAATGTGGAGCAGCACTCTGAGAGTATTATTTACACTTAAATTATTGTAACCAGTTTATATGATTCAATTGAGGTGAATGTTCCCATGGGGTTTAAACATTTCTGAGCTTCATAAAGGCCATAATGTAGAACTCAAGCATTGTGCAAGTAAAAAAACCTGCAGTTAATGGTATGTCTGAGAAATAAGCCACACATGCATATTTTATATTCATATCATCTGAAGAGAAGGAGTTGCTTTTCCAGTGTAGAGTGAAATGTAAAAGGAAAAATAAATATTTAGAGCATATTGTTTGGATGTAATCATATGCATGTGAAGTCATATATTCACAATTTGGCTGTGTTTATTTCAACATGCAAGGCTCCAGATCTCATATCTGACATATTGACAGTGGTATGTCAAATTGCCTGGGAGCTGTGCACATTCAAGCGTGCCATGCTTGGAGCAGACAAGATCTGCATGGGAGATGATTGTGGAGGGTCTGAGTGCTCCACTTCCTGCTGGGACAAGGAGAAAAACGAGGCACTGTGGCCAAGCCTGGGGTTTCACAGAGTTTCATCACACTTGATGTCTGCCCCAGTTCTCCAGCTGCTGAAATCTGGTCACCATCATGGAATGCCAGCCTTTGTTTAACAAATAAATAATCTAGCCTTGTAGTTCTGGGGAAAATGAAAAACATTAATCTTAATTAAGTTCTTGCATTAGTTTTCCTTTCTGGTTTATAAACCAGTGTCAGATGGATGGTGTTTAGGTACAGTGTGGGAGCTGCACGATGCAGGTTTGATTGCTTGGGTTTGGCCGTAGTGATGATGTTGTCATTTTGCCCCACCTTTCTCACTACATGCATTCAGTACATGGATTTGCACTATCCAGCAGTCTTTTTAAGGATGTTATGACTTGCTTGTAGGATGGCTGGGAAAGTAGAGAGAGGAATGGTGCACTTGTGTGCTCATGCTGTACCAGAACTACCTCTATGGAGAAGAGAGGGGGGTTTTTGTGGTTTTGTTTTTGGTTTTGGTTTGGTTTGGTTTGGTTTGGTTGTTTTTGGTGGGTGTTTTGTGGGTTTGTTTGTTGTTTGGGGGTTTTTGTGTTTTGTTTCTTTGTTTTTGGCATCAAGTAAAAGACATTATTCTCATAATCTTGTAAATTGGCTATTTCATATTCGAGGTTTCTTTTTCCCCTCTCATTATACTTGGCAAAGTCCCTGACCTTTGTTGCAGATTATGTACATGCGAACTTTCTGAAACAAAACAGTTTTAAGTTGTTCAAGTGTCAGAGTGTGTCAGGACCAGTTTAACATGTGATAAAAACTGTATTGCTGTTCTTGGACAACCAAGTTTCTTTAACCTCTGAAACAAAAGAAAAAGACTTTACTAGGCTGAGAAACATAAGAAGAATTCCATTGAGTAACATTAGTGTGTGGGAAAGGGCAGGGCTGTGAGGTCTCTGCTAATTGGAATCCCTCATATTAGTAATAATAAAAATGGCACATGGCATTGGAGCAGTTACAGCAGTGATACAGGCCTGCTCCTGTCTGGCTTCTCAGGTGATTTTGGGATGGATACTTTGAGTATGTTTCAGTCTCTGCATAATCTAAAATTACGAAAGGTCAAAGAAGTAATAATTCTAATACGTACTCTTTTTCTAGAGGAAGACTCAGTTAATTTGGTTTTTAATGGCTTTAACCTTTGTGATGGTTGTAGCGTGTTCTTCCGCAAGTTCCAGATGTCTTCAAGGGAGGCCCTGTGCAGTTTAGTGAGATAACAAAATATAAATAATGTGCATGGGTGATTACCCATGGACTATAAGCACTATGAGCTGTCTCAGGACCTGTGAATCATCTGGCTTTTTACTTTCTGCGTGATTGTCCCTTGGCTTTTTTGTAACATTTTGCCCCAGCCTTTCTGACTTGAGACTGCAGGATGAGGGGATAGGCTTTCAAAAATGTATTTCCACCCACTGCTTCACTTTTGGAAGCTGAAGGGAGACCCCCACACTGTCCTGGAAAATTAGTTGTCAGGTGAACCATACACAGAAGTTACACCGTCCCCCGTTAAGAATGCCTGGGCCTGAATTTCACAGGTTTATAGAAAAGAGAAAATGTTTCACAGCTCAAAAGTAAGCTTTCTCCCACCCATGCCTTGTCCTGTTTTCTGCTTCACACCTGTGATCTGAGAGGACATTCCTCCTACAGGTGGTGGGAGGGAGGCTCTTTCACCTCCATGGAGCCCAGCAACAGAGCTCCACATTTATGGCCAGACCTCATACTGGGGCTCCTGTTGGGTCCCCCATACCAGTAGGCTGCTGCCATCTCATTTGTCCAGCGTTCCCAGCCTCAAAGGCAAGCACCAGCTCCATTCACTTCCCTTTCTCAAGATCATTTAGAGTTTGGAACTCAGTGACAATATAGGACTGTCTTTTCCTAAACTCCTCATTTCAGTTGTTCTTTCCACAAAATTAATGGCTCCTGACCGCATGTGCTGGGATTGTTGGTGTCTGGGACAAGTGAGGGGGAGATTACCTTCCAGTTTTCCAGCTCTCTGAATCTCTACTGTTTTGAGAGCTGTGCCCATTCATAGTGCTGTTTCCTGAGCATCTCCCAGAATTCTGGGAGAAACTCCACCCTGTATAATTAAGGAACGCATAATGACCACACTGGAAAAAATAAATAGTTAACTGATAATCTAGGTATTGCAATTAAAAATGCTCCTCTGGTAGTTTGTTTAGATATGATAACACCACCTTCTTTTGTTTTCAGGTGTGGCTCGATCTTTTGAAGCCTGTTATGAAACAGATTAGAAGTAAGTACTTCCTTGTTGACATTTCTTTACTCAGTCTGAGACTACTTGAATAAATTAGGACTCTCTCGGTTGCAATCTTTATATTCTCAACCTTCTGCACTAAATGTTGCTGGAATTATTTTCTGATTCTGGCCTGTCCTTAAAAGACATACCTGTGAAGTTATGTCACATGAGCATATGAAGGGCTGACCCCACCCCGTGGGAGGCTGGGGTTTAGTCAGTCACTGGGAGAGGCGCTGGTGGCAATGGAGGGAACAGCTTTGTACAGAAAAAGAATGCAGTGAAAGAAGGACTAAAGGAACATTGCTGGTTGGTAGTAGCAGGAATCAGAATAGAAGGAAGACTACAGGAAGGCTTTATTACTGGGAAGGAGCTGGCAGATGTATTACAGCTGTGTGGACACTGCTGCAGAACCTGGGACTTTTGGAGACAAGGAGGAGGAAAGAGTTGGGATGGGGGAAGCTACAGTGGGTGGTAGGAAAGAGCAGGAAATTGTAAATAGCCACCAGCTCTAGAAGGAGTAGAAGTGAAAGGTTCTGATTATTTTGTTTCTCTGTCAACTGTCAGCCAAGTTCTTAATATATGGAGCTTTGCCATTGAGATTCTTTTCTAGGTGCTTTTCTGGTCATATTAGTCTGAGTGTATGCTCTGGCAGCTCTCCCTCTCACAAGACAGGGATGCATTGGTCCTTTTGTCACTGGTCATACTTGTAAGAATTGGAACAAATGTGCTGTTCTTAAAACAGAAATAGTAATTTGCTAGTGGACTTCAAAAGTAGACTGTATTTTAGCTCCCTCCTGTTCTGAAGCAAGGAAAGTAGATACACATATATTTTATTGGATCAACTGATGCAATTGCTAAAAACATACTTGGTTTTGGCAGAGTAGCCCTTGACCAAGTTACTGTTCTCTTTTATTGTGTGTAAATTTTATTGGGCAGTCTCCAAATATCCTGCATACTAACAAAGGACACAAGGTTAGCATGTCTGTATGCACTGCAGGTTATGTGAATTATCCCTTGTACATCATTGTGCATATTTGTCCAGCATGTTATTGATGTTTGTTAACTTCCTTTGACATTTTCCCTAGGACCGAAGCACGTTGTTGTAAAATTTGTGGTAAAATTCTTCCCACCTGACCACGCTCAGCTGCAGGAGGAACTGACAAGGTTAGTAGCTGGGTGACTCTTTCTTCTTGTTAAATATCTGATGGATAGAGGGAAGAAAATGGAATTTGAGATGACTGGGTGAGGATTGATGACAGCCTCTTACTTTTAGCTTGGTGTCCCAGCCTTGAATGCACCTGAAAAAACAGGCCCTAAGATTCAGCTGCAGTTTGTGCTGAGAGGTTCTGCAAAGTGCAGGAGCCCTTTGCATCCTGGGATATGGAGTCCTGGGAGAGCTTTACTAACCCCAGGAGAAGTAATTTTCTCTATTTGGAATGATCAAGTCATGTATGGGCACCCTGGGGTCCCCCTCTGCCAAGGGACACGTGTGACTCTGCACCCCTGTTTGGGAGAGAGCTGTTTTGTGTGAATTGCTGATTTGCAGCAGCATTGGACCTTGTCTATATAGCCAACACAAATGCCAAAGGTTTGCACAGATGGAAGTGTGGCTTTGGAGATGGAGAAGTGAAAAGGAATAAAATCAAAAATAAGAATGTAGAGAAAGATACACACTTATGCAGACAGAGTACCTTAATACTAATGTTTAAATGCTTTTCAGTGCATTTCAAAAACTTCATTTAAAGCTTTGAAAATCACACTGTATTGGCACAAAAACTCCTATTTCTCTGTGAGTAAATATGTGTATGAGGGACCCATTAAGGTTTTTTTTTTTAAAAGCAGGTCCTTCATTTATGGTCAGAAACATTGCTTTGTTGTGGTATTTCTTCATTGCAAATTTTTGCTCTTTTTCTGGTCTGCAAAATTATTAGCTTCTAATTACATGTTTCCATTCTGATTCAGAATATTCACTATTAGATTTTATTTTCAATCTTCTCAAAAGACAAACTCCTCTTTTGCAGAGAGCTCTGGTGTCCTTATGACTTGCATTATAAAGAACAAGTCTACTTTTGTGATGTTCACTGTTTATCTTTGTTGTGTTTTATTTTGGCAATAGAGCATTGGAATAGAAAAAAATAAATAATTGATACTGCTTGAAATGGCCTGAAAAGAGAAAAGTAGAAATGTGGGGTAGGAAGAAGAAGTATTTACTTGCTAAAGACTAAAGAATAAAAGAAAGTAAAAAGAATAAAGGGATGAATGAAAACTCACAGTGTGATGTTATTAATGAAACATTTCTTTTTCTGAACAGATACTCTGCATATCTGTTTCTTACTATGTGAACTGAAAACCAATTTTTGGTGATCTCTGTCTGGACCTGGAGATGTGTCTCTTAATCCTAATGACTTTTTTTTTGTTAGATTTTAAATATGTATGCTAAGGGACTTGAATATATATACATAGCACTCTGTAGGATGTGAAAGCATGTCCATGGGGAACTGCTTCATCACTTGAAGAAGAAGAGACTATAACATTTTTGTACTATGTTCCTCTGCCAGGGTGAATTCTGTATGGGTAGACAGATGTCTGCAGGTTTCAGAAGGATGTTATGTAGATCTGCTGTTTTATTTCAGTATGTACACACAAAGCACTTTTCCATACTCCTCAAATCAGCTTGCCCCTCTCATTTAGCATACCTACATCTTCTCATTCAGAAACCCACTGTTCAAATGAGAGCTTTTGTCTAAATCTATTAAAATCTAGTCTTATTAAAATTGAGATCCTAGTATGAGTTCTCCAGAGGAGCTGCAGTCTTTGGAAGGCTTGTTAAGGTGTGTCTCACCACTTCAGGTTTCATACCAGCTGTAGGAAAAATGCCCATTACTAGCTCTTCTTTTTTTGAGGGAAGAATTGGATACTGAGTGGAACTAAGCCAATTTCTGTTGAAGCTAGAAGAAATTTAAATGATGGAATAATGTCTTGGACTTCTGTTGTCTCTGCATTTATGCTGGCATTGTAGAATTGCCCTGCATGGCTGAAGTGGTTTGGAGGCAATGTTAGAAAGGGCTGGTACATGGACAGTGCAGATATTAGAGCCACAAATGTATCAGATCTAGCTAGAATAGTTTGATTAAGATTTTGTGCTTCATTCCCAAGTGAATGCCAAGGTGGAAGTTTAGAGTTCACTTTGTATTCTACAAGAACCAACTGATAACTCTGAACCACTGGTTTATCTGTCATTTCTTCATGGTTAGAAGCAGCTGCATTATCTCTTGCTGAATACTTCATAGCTGTCACGTTTTCTAGCAGTGTCATATCTGGTTGCTCTGGTTCCAAACGGAGGGAGGAAGAGAGAAAAAGAGAGATTATCTTGGTTCTTAAGGCAGCCACCATCTACAGCTCTAATGGCAGTAATACAGTATCTGTTGTGTTTTATTTACCCTCTAAACGTAGGTAATTCAGATCACTTCTGTAGATTCCAAAGTGTGAAGGGAAGGTGCAGTCAAAGCCAGCGTTGGGATACTTTCCCCTCTTTCCCTCCTGCTTTGTGTAACCCTTTGTTCACTTTTGTTTTGCAGGTACCTATTTGCATTGCAAGTGAAGCAGGACCTGGCACAGGGAAGGCTAACATGTAATGATACCAGCACTGCTCTCCTAATCTCACATATAGTACAATGTAAGTTCCCTTTTTTCTTCTTTACAGACAGATAAACAGGATGCTTGGTTGGACATGCTTTGCAGGGTTACCTGTTAGTAGCTGCTTTAGGGATAGGTTTAAGCCATATTGACAATTTATTGTAGCTCTGTGTAATAGCATTCAAATACAGATAATTTACTGTTTCAAACAAAGAAGAGTTTCTGGTATCAATTGCTTTAAAACTTCTGGATTTGAAGTTTTAAAGCAATTGATAGGCTGCCAAAGATAATTTAAAAATTAGACTTTGCAGGCAGTGGCAAACACGTTGAATTCTGCTGAAATCCTGTTTTATTACACTTCACATAATGTCAGTAGGGTATTCAAATTCCTGGGGATCTGTGTGCTGTCTAGAGAATGTAGTAAGTAAACATGCTTAGAATGCCAGACTAAATCACAGTCCTAAGAGAATAACATTAGAAAAAAAACCACTTAGCAGCAAGTATAATGGTTGTAATAGACTTTGTTTTGCATGGTCCTTGTACAATTCCATATTGTGTGCTTGCACTGTAATGCTAATGCTACTGTATGGAAAGTACAGTCAGCAAAGACATTTGGAAGCTCTTTGGAGGTGAGCAGAAAAATCTCATGATTTTCTGTCATAGTCTGTTGAAGTGTTAGGGCAGTTTCTCACCAATTGCTGTTGGAAAGGCAGGTGTTTTATGGTTCTGTTTGCTATGGTCATCATTGACCAGTGGGACTGAGTAGCAGTAAGATGCTGTGAAATTCTATAGTCCTCATACCATTCTAAAATTGAGTATTTTGGCAGCACAGACTTAAAAAAATAAAATCCTTCACTAGTGAGGTTTTTGTCTCTTGGTTTTTTTGTGCTACAGTGTCCAACAATCCATCTGTATTTCTTTTCTTGGTTGAGCTAGTTCTAGTTTTCTTTAATTTCAGGCAATTAAAAAAATCTTGATCATTTGGGGAAATTGAGTCTCATTTGCTAAGCTGCATTCTAGGAGGCTGAGTTTTCCTACTAAATGTCTGTGCACCAAAGGAAGATGTTGAGGAGCAGACACCCTCATGCATGTGTCTCTTTTCATTTGATGTATTGATTTATGATCATGTTTGCTAGAAAACTCTGCTAGAAGTTTGCTGTTGTCCTTTTTATTTGTCCATTTTGTGTCTCATGAACATTTTTCTGTGAAAATTTTCTCTGGTAAGAGTCTATAGCTGTATCTTACTTGCATGGCTGACTTTATTTTGTCTCTAGCTTATTTTTCAATAAATAAGCAAAAGAAATATTATGTATTTGTCTGCAATAAAAATCAGAGTAAACAGATGATAGGAGTAATGGTATCAAAAGGGAAAGATTGAGAATGCAGGTTAGTTATGGTATGTCTTACTAATGCTGTGCCAGTGAGTGGTTTCCATGGGGAATATCTGATTCCAGGAGGCCCATATATTATGTACGTAAGCTTATGTCAATGTTCTATACTGTTACTTATCATAAAATCACAATATTACAGCAAATAGGTTTCTGCTAAATTAGCATGTATATTACAGAATGATTTTTTTAATTTGAAACATTCAATTTAAAACTACCTTAAAAGCATTGTAAAAAGTGTTAGAAGTGAGAGGACACTGGGATACTGCAAACGATGCACTGCAGTGACTATGTGAAGATGGACTGACCATGAGCCAGAGTGTGCCTAGGTGGCCAAGAAGGCCAGTGTCATTTTGGCCTGTATCAGCAATAGTGTTGCCAGCAGGAGCAGGGCTGTCATTGTCTGTCCCCCTGTACTCAGCACTGGTGAGGCCACACCTCGAATCCTGTGTCCAGTTTTGTGTCCCTCAAAACACTCAGGTGCTAGAGTGTGTCCAGAGAAGGGCAAGGAAGCTGGGGAAGGTTCTGGAGCAAAGGTGTTATTAGGAGTAGCTGAGGGAGCTGAGGTGGTTTAGCCTGGCAAAAAGGAGGACTGGGGGGCCTTACCATTGTCTAGAATTGCCTGACAGGAGCCAGGTGGAGGTCATCTTCTTCTCCCAGGTAACAAGTGACAGAAGGAGAGGAAATGGCCTCACGTTGTACCAGGGCAGCGTTGAAGCTTTAGATTGGATACTAGGAAAATTTCTTCATGGAAATAAAAAATTCAAGCATTGGAATCGGCTTGTCCAGGAAGTGGGAGAGTCACCATCCCTGGAAGGATTTAAGAGACGTGTAGATGTGGCACTCAGGGACGTGATCACTGGTGGACTTGGCAGTGCTGGGTTAACAGTTGGACTTGGTGGTCTTAGAGGTATTTCCCAAATTAAGCAATTCCATAATTCTGTCATAAAAGGAAAAGAGCTGAAATACAAAGCATCAGATTATCGGAAGTGCTAATGCAGACAGAATACAGCATGGTTTAATGTACTTGCCAGGTAAGAGAAAAACCATCATCAGTGTAAATAAGTCTTTGGCTAAATCACATGAAGAGATTTTAAAGAATAGTTACACGTGAGGCTGACAATATTTGCAGTATAATTCCCTCTCATTCTCAGTTGAGTGCTACTAGAAAGTTATTTAAGGTAGAAGAGGAGAGTAAGGCAGTAAGTAAAAGCTTGTTGAGTATGAGGTCAGAGAGAACAAATTCAGAAGCAACTTGAAAGCCAGGAAGGAAATTTTGATAGTGGATTTGCAGTTGAAAAATGCTGAGAACATTTTAAAAATCATGTAGAGTTGAAGAAAGTGTCTTCTGTACTGTTGACTCTGAAGAAAGCCCTGCAGGAGGTGTGTTAAGCTCATCTGTGTACACAGACATGGCGGTTTTGAACTGCATTTTGAAGAATCCAAGCCCATGTTATTTGAGGTGTTGCAAACTTAGGTGGGTTTATGGCTTCATTAAAGAACAGAAACTTGCCATTTATTTGAGGTAGGATTAAAAACCTTGAAGAATTTTGAGACTGGCATGAGTAAAACTGGAAGCAGAGAGCTGTTTCTGATGTGGGGACAAACAGGACAATTTTAAAAAGGGAAATTCTCAAAGGTTGTGTAGTATTTCTCCATTTTAAGGAATGATTGAGAGCAGATGGGGTGAATGAGGGGGTGTAAATCAGACAGTGTCAGTTTTCAACTCTTTTCCACCTCTGACCTTCAAAGTAAAAAATGTCATCATGTGTCTGCAGGCAGTTTGGGTCAAAAAAGCTACTGCTCTGTCATTCACAGATGCTTTGGTTCCTCATTTTCAGTGCCTGCACAGGCTATTGCTTCCCCTGTGCATTTAATGTACATCTGATCCCAGTTTGTCAGAAATACAGTGTTTTAAATGTGATCTCACACCTTTCCTTTTCTAAACAGACTTAGTTTGAGCAGAACTGGATCAAGGGTTCATTTACATGGGTGGAACTGAAGGTGAAGCAGGTGTATCTGAGCGTAGGTCTGTCATATCGTGGGTCATGTGTGCAGCAACATGTCTGACTGCATTCTGCATTTAATTTGAGGGCACTGTATTTTAATTTCCCTGACGTTACCAAGGTAGCAGCCTTTGTTGCAGTGATATTGCTATTACTCCATCAGGTTTGCAGGCAGAAGCTGCTATGCCTGTTCAGTGAAAAAAACTAATAGCAAGATTTTCAGAGACATTCCAAGAATAGCAGGCAACAAGATAGTAATTTGGCTCCCACAGATAGATTGCCTACCCTTCACCCCCACACCTGCCAAAAAAAGGAAATTTCACTGAATGGACTGCAAAATGGAAGGTGGGTGTGCCATACTCTTGCACACACAGTGTTGAATAACTGCAGCAGATGGGAGCAGCTTTGAGGAGGAGGGAGACAGAATGTGTCTCAAACTGCTGCAGAATTAGAGGAAGACAAATGTTTCATAATCCCATGAGGTGGATTACAAACTAGTGTTCAAACAAGCAAACAGAACCATCTCTCTGACTTTCTCTCAAAGGTTACCAGGTGGGACATGGGCCTGGAGAGGAAGCTAGTGCTTGGCTGCTCCATGGAGAGGCACCTGAGCCCCGTGAGAGAGCGTGAGAGAGATGGATGAGTTCTGCTCTGTTAGTGCTGCTCTCCCTGTACCCCTGCCCTTATCCCCCACACAAGCCAAGGTAGCACTGGTGGCTTCAGCTCTTCAGCTGGCATCCAACAGCTTACTTAGTTGTGGTAGATGGGAGAAATCCTGGGGTTTCTTCTCACATATCAAATACTAACACAGAGGAGAAGAGAGTAATGTGTGGAAGATAATGTAGTGGGAATCTGAATTGTAAAACCATGGCACAGGTTGCAAGGAACTGTGTTTGCTTCTCTGCCCTCTTCCCAGCTGCCAGGGTCTTCTGGATTGACCAGATTATTCAGATGTAATGTGATGCTTTAATAGGCTCCTCTTAAAACTCTCCACAGCTGAGATTGGGGATTTTGATGAAACCATAGATCGTGAACACTTAGCGAAGAACAAGTATATACCTCATCAAGAAGCACTAGAAGACAAAATCATGGAATTTCACCGCAACCACATGTAAGAATTTTTTGGTTTTGTTATTGGCCTTCTTTTCCTGTAGAGTAGTTCTAATGGTAAGTATATGCTAGATCTGAAGTACAAAAGAGCTTTGGACATGTAAGTTTCTTGAAGGTTGCTTCTCAAAAACTGTTAAAGCCTATGAACTTCCTGAAGGTTACTCCTACCTTTTTCCCATCATCATAACAAGATGTTTAAAGCACAGTTGATTCGATATTCATTCAAGCGTGCTGTTATTTTACAGTCTATTTCATACAAAATGCTTTACTGCTGATTTTGTGCATGCAGGTATGATTGCAAATCACAACTGATCAGTCAGGCACTCGTGACAGTAGTCCTTTGGTTTCAAGGACACTGAATGTTGCCTTTCAACTTTTCCATGCTGTATTTTGAGAAAGGTTGGAGAAGGGGGTTTAGTGATAGTTTTAGGAAAAGCACAGACTACTTGCAGAATTATGAGGGAAAAGAATTCAAGATGATGATCCAAATTAGTATCCTAGTGTCTGGAGAAAAGACCTGTACTAGGAAGATGGTGAACGGGAGTACCAATAAGGCTTAGAAAAGTATTTTTTTGATGTCAAGAACACTTCAAGATGTGAAAAGTTTAATTTTTGAGCTAGGTTGAGTAATAGATGAGTGGTAGTGATTTCTATGGCAGTAATAATCAAAGCTTTGCATAATTTCATCACAATTAATGATTCCAATGCTTATGGCTTCACAGTATTTATGGTAAGGTTTTCATGCCTTCTGTTTTACTTCATTTTGGTATTACAGTCACTTTTACAATGAATAGCATCATTACATGCTTCCATTCATGATTTTTTTAGGAATGTGGCATATTTTCTAGTGGGAAAAACAAAGGGAGGTAGTAAATTCTGTTAGAGATAATGGTTTAAAATCTATCTGTATCAGGTGCCTCAGAATTGGAGCAATCAAAATTTAAAATTTTGATTGTAAAATCTGTGTATTTTGACTGTAAAATCTGTGTATTCTTTGATATTTGTTTAGAGTAAGTTGTTGTTCTAGCTGATAAAACTCTGGGGATGTAGAAAAACCGTACAGATATTACACCTCTGACAGTTTTCAGTCTCTTTGATCAAATGTCTCTTTGTTCTCTGGAGGACCTCTTGATCTCTATTAAAAGGTGTGACAAGCTTGTGAGTGTTCTGTGTTTTCTTTCTCAAGGGGACAGACACCAGCAGAGTCTGACTTCCAGCTTTTGGAGATTGCCCGTCGGCTGGAGATGTACGGGATACGCTTGCATCCAGCCAAGGACAGGGAGGGGACAAAAATCAACCTGGCTGTTGCCAACACAGGCATTCTGGTGTTTCAGGTTAGAGCATGATTTTGTACTTCATAAAGCAGAGAGATTTCTGACAGCAGTAAGAATTCAGGAACTCAGCCATGTCTACAAGTATTCTGTTGGGAAAATGCAGGAACTTCCAAAATTATTCTAAGAATTATCTTAAACCTGTTATAGCTGCATTGGGCCCCTTCCTTCCAGGACCTCCTACCTTATGTGAATGCACAGTGTAGAGCTCCATCTGCATCCACAATGTGCTATTCAGGATGCAATCTGAGCTCTGGCTCACAATTTGCAGGTTGGTCATGCTGACATGTAGGAGCAGGTAGGTCTTGCAGGCGTGGTGCACAGTAAATGGGTGAGAAGCAGAGACAAGTAAAGCAACAGACAGCTGGAGTCCGTGCAGAAGGATGAAGGCAGTAAATATAAGCTCTCTCTGAAGTGTTACTTCTTCAACGTTTTTACAGGTTTCTTGACCGGCCTTGGCCATTGTATCTTTGCTGAATCCATGGATCTTACTTCTTTCCTTTAAAGATCCAAACTGTTTTCCTTCTGTTTTTTCTCTCCTTTCCTACTGCAGTCATTCTAGTACATATTTATGAAGCATCATTAGTAAATTTGTCAAATTCTCATTCTGCAGTTCCCCTTACGTAAATAACAAATTTGGCTTTTACAATTGTGAAGCTCTAGGTAGTCAGCTGGTGTCAGCTGCTTTCTCTTTAGATGCTTACCTGAATCTGTACTAAAAACAGTAAGTAAGCTGTTCTTTAAAATGTCCCTTTTTACAGTTGTCAAAAAAGACTATTCGTTTTAACTGTTTGACTATCATTAAAATGCCAGTGTTTTCAGCCTTACAAAGTACTTTGAGTCCTTTCATAAAGAAAAGTAACAGCAACAAACAAGCCCAGAAGTGTCTGACCCAAATGCTCTAAGATTTAAAAACATCCAACCAAACAAACAGCCAAAAAGAGGCAGCAAATTAAAAAGATGCCTGATCAAGTAAATGAGTTGGCAGTGGAACCCCAAAACTGAAGCATAGGTTGAAACGTGAGAACACTGGGAGTTTGTTAGAAATGCGCATAACTCAAGCAATTGTATGTTCAATTGCTTGCTTCCCCTGCTCCCCCACAGCATTTTCATCAGCTGAATTAATGAACTGCCAAGCTTTGTAAATTAAGGCTGTCTTCAAGGTGAAAGTGTGTGTCCACAGAGAGCAGCATGGACCTCAGAGTCCCAGCACGCAGCTGAGATCCTGTAAAGTGTAGCTGCAGGTTGATGGCCCAGGGCTTGATTTGACAAGGTCTGAAGTCATGTCTACTCGACCTAATGTGTTTGGGACTTTCAAAACAGTTTGGTTTTGTTTTTAAAGTTTCTGAAAAGCTTGGAAATTTTACTGGTTGAAGCTCCAAGACTGAATGCTGAAAAGGAAGTCAGGCTCTGACCTGCTGGAGTCTGCTCAGCAATTGGCGTCTGTCAGTAGGCTTAGGGCTTCCTTCAACCACTTCATAGGTCAAGAGCTAAGTTCTTATTTTTATTTTGGTTATAGCTGATAGAAATTGAAATATGAGGATCTCATTAGAATGTTCCCAATGCAAATAAAGGTTCACTCACAAATGGCATAAGCTTACTTTAAAGTCTGCCATTTATTTAGAAATCAGTGTCAGTGCTGCTGATTATTTTAAGGAGATTAATTATGTGATTCTTAGACAGCTGGTTGACTTAGCAGAGATCATTACACTGTCATTACTCCTACAGCTGTCTGGTGATGGTGCCCAAATCAATGTGGGTTTCTGCTTTTAGCAGTCCTGAAACTTCTGTGCTGTACTCTAGGAATGTTTGTGTTGAAGTCTTCATTCAACAAACTGCTGTAGCAAATATTTTAGCATACCACCTCCAATACCTGCTGACATAGATTAAAAATGAAACTTCTGAAGGGTAGGGGCTAATGATGTAGTGGCTGGGAGTTGGAGTACTATGAAAATATTTCCTTCTTGCTGTTTGCTTATGGTATTGGTTGCTTTTTCCCAGAAAATAATTTTGTGGCTCTTCAGAGATAAATAATTTGTTTAGATTGCTTTTGCTCCTGGTGCTCCCTATGAAAGGTCAAAATGTACTTCCAATACAAAACCTGCAGTTGCTTTTTTTCTTTTTCACAGTAAAACCATATTTAAAGAGATACTTATTTTGCCCTGCAGACGTAAAAAGAGGGAGAAAATCTACTTCATCAAATTGAGGTGACATGTGTCTGGATTCCCTGCATTCTCTGTCACTGGTGGAAATAGAGTGAGGCACCTTTGGAAGGTGATTTAGTCCACAGAAAATCTTGAGTCTGCATAGTAGCACAAGATAGCAAAATCTGGTCCACCCTGTCTTGTGCAGTAATACCGGGTCGGATATTTCCACAGTAACTAGTCCTGTATTGCAAGAGTTTAACCATAAGTGCCTGCCTTCAGTCATTGCACCAGATGTTTATGGTTTGCATTATCAGAGGATGAGTAATAAGAAATGTCATCATTTCAAGTGAACAGATGATTAATTTATGACAAGCTTCTTTAGTGGTTTAGATTTTTCCGTTTGGATCTGGAATGATTAAACCCAGCTGGCTTTGTTCTCTGTAGGGTCACACCAAGATCAATGCCTTCAACTGGGCCAAGGTTCGAAAGCTGAGCTTCAAGAGAAAACGTTTTCTTATCAAACTGCGGCCTGATGTGAATGTAAGTCCTTGTTAGGAGTTGATGAAGCTGACAGAAGGTTATTTGGTATTTCTACTCACTGATCACACGTGGTTTTTAATCACCTCATGAATATTTTAATTGCTTATGTTCACTGTTGGTACTGTGCACATCAACCTGGCAGCTCAGGTGAGCAGTCGTGGCAAAGGACATGTAAACTGAGTCAATCATAATAGAATGTCCCAGAGTCATCGTCTGCTTACAACTCTGGTACTGTATCATCAGTTCTTAAGGTATAGCATATAATCAACTTCTTCTCATTAACATTCAAACCGCTGCTTTATCTCTGTCATATTTGTCAGTGAAAGGAAGTTTGAGCAATAGCTTTGATACTGACAGGCAGACCAGCAGTGTCTCAACGTTAGAAGGATAGGGCCTGTTAAGCCTGAAAGCCAATAAGTTGGGAAGAAGCTTTTGGGGCTTTTTTCTTTTTTCTTTTTTTTAGCACAGCACCTGATTTGTCAATGCATTTCTCTAATCTATGTTGCTGCCCAGCTTACATTGCAAATGCTATCCCAATTTTCAGAGTTCATTCCAGGACACCCTGGAATTCCTTATGGCCAGTCGAGATTTTTGCAAGTCTTTCTGGAAGATCTGTGTGGAGCATCATGCCTTTTTCAGGCTTTTTGAGGAACCTAAACCAAAGCCTAAACCTGTTCTTTTTTCTAGAGGTTCTTCATTTAGGTTCAGGTAAGACATGCATTCTTTCCCCCTTTGTTGCCTCTCCATTTCAAAATCACATCCATAATGGTCTAGGATTAAACCTGTTATTTTAAACTCACCTTTTTTACATTGTAGTTTGCTCCTTTATATTTTCCATTGCATCTTCTCTGCCAGAATAGTGCAAAGAACACTGTAGGGAAAAACCCTGCATTAATTCTGTAGTAGCTGTTGCAAAATAGCCTTCTGGAGGTGAGATAATAAAGTATATAGGGTCCAGCTGGTTTTCCACAAGAAAATTCACCTGTGTCCTAAGCAGCACTGGCTCGCAATTTTTGGGGATTCTTTGAATCCTCTGCTCCTAAAATGGGGTCTTTCCTATGTATCAGAGTAGAGATTGTTGCATGTGCCTGTGATAAACCCATATTTGTGTAGTTAAAGGCAATGGCTTTATGCTCACAAAGGATTTACGTGAGATGACCACCTCTGTTGAGACCACGTATACCTGTGATATTGTTAGGCCTGTAGGAAAGCTTTCAGTAGTTGGGTTATTGTTTTAGGGTTTTTTTTTTTTCATTACACTGGCAGAAGCATCATTGTAGATATTGCATTGTGTATGCCAGGGGGAAATCCTTTTATTCATACAGTTTATTTTGTTTGTGAAGCTGATACAAGCTGTACAGCCAGAAACGCTCTTTGCTGAGATGAATGATGCAGTCTAGATGCCTTGCATAAGAACACAGTGCATATATAGCCATTCTGACTCTCTTTCCACTTAGTTTGCTGCCTGCAAAGTAAATTAAGGTGGAAGGACCTATGTTGGGTAAACAAACTATAACTTGTTAAGTTTCTGCCTGAAGTAAATAGAAAACTGTAGGTGCATTCAACTTACCTCAGGCTGTGGAAAGCAGGTTTTGGCTACATCCTCCACTCCCTGTGATCTGTGTTACTACATTCAGTAACCTTTTCCAGGCCCTGAAAGCCTCTAATGAATTGGAAGAATTTGGCTCTCAGCTGAGCATTCTTGAGGTGTGGGTTTCCTGTGCTGCTTTCAGTTTGCTTTGGAGTTTATAGCTTTGCACAATAGACAGCACTGGGCTTTCTCACTACTTCACACCCTGTAGCAGAAGGGTGGAAAGGGATTTCCAGCCTAAATCTCTGCAGAAAATGTGTGTTTTATAGTAGCAACCAAGGAATGAAGTTGATGTCAGGGGTTTCATCTTATTTCCAGGGTTTACTAATATCAGATAAGGCTGGTATTTGACTAAAAAGGATTCAAGAATATATTAATTCATGAAAGGAAAGCTTAACCTCTGCTTCACTTTCCATTGTAGTGACTTCCCAGTAACGTAGTACCCTATAGGGCCCACAAAGCTGAATTGAAGCAGTTCTGAAGTGGCATCAAAAAGTAGCTCCATAGCAAAAGAAAGAGACAAGTAACGTGCAAAATGGTAAAATGTGTGTATCTGACCAGGTCCCCTCCTGTATGATCTTGCCATGAGTTTCTGCTGATAGTGACAAATACTTTTCTGGTTGCTGTGACTTAATATGCAAGCCAAACACAAGGTTATGATGACCACGTGGTATATTGTATTAAATACTTTAACTCTGGTTTTCTTCCAGTGGTCGGACTCAGAAGCAAGTTCTTGACTATGTTAAGGAAGGAGGGCACAAAAAAGTGCAGTTTGAAAGGTGAGAGGAAATAAATTTAGTATCCTAATATATTATAATCCAAGAAAAGTCATGATTTCCAGTTAGTTATAGTCTGAGATCTTGGCACCAGTCCAAGAAAAAAAATTCCTTCTCTGCTGGTTTGACTGTTTATCACATGTGTAATTTCCCATGGTCCTGCATGTTTTGGCAAAAGTTTCATAACTTATAGTTCACTTAAAATCAGTAGTCTTCAATCTGTTTTTCAGCAATGAACATCCTGCTATCACAGGTAACTTTCTCCCAATTTGATTTGCACCCTCTTTGTTGGGATGTGGTTAATGTGTGTGAACAGACATATTCAGCTCAGAGTAAAACTGAACGTGAGAAAAAGTACAGTCAAGCTCAAGGGAGAGGTCTCCAGGGAAACTGGAAGTCTTCTAGCTTGCTAGAGCAGTTCTGTCTGAACTCATCATGCTCATGGTGAGCTGAAAGTAATGGCCAAAATGCCAAAAAGACCATGACAGTAGTTCATTGCTTATGATTCATGCTTACCTGGTAGACCATTTTTGCTTCAGTGCTTCTCCTTTTTCTTACAGTGGTGTGTTCGCAACACAAAACACATTAAAATTTTACAGAAAGGAGGAATGTTAATCTGTTTTGGAGCAAAATTTTATAAAAGCTGTTATTCAAAGGTTTTGTTTTAAAAGCATGTCTCTTGATTCCTGTTTGTAGAGGAAAAAAAAACCACTGAAATAGCTCTTTATGTGATTTTCCTTTTATCTCCAGGAAACACAGCAAGATTCATTCCATCAGGAGTCTGACTGCACAGCCTTCAGAACAGCATACAGAGGTGCCAAAACAAGTCAGTGATGTTGATGAAACCCTGGAAATGAAATCCTTTTAAACATTTCTTGTTAGATTGCCCTCCACTGATTGCTGTTTTAAAGCCCTAAGAGCATAGTTTTCTGCTTGCTTACCATTTAGCTGGGAGCTAAGGAGCCCTGAGTGTCATAAGCTTTAGGTTTTGCTGAGTGAAACAGCATTGCTTACTGACAACCAGGCAAATATAAATAGTGAGCTTATCTGAGCTGTACTAATGACCATCTGAAAAATTGCAACCCTCAGTGTTGCTGCCAGGGTCCTTGGTTGTAACTATTGCACCTGGGGAAGGTGTAACTACTTTGCTGAGAGGTCTTGGCTGCCCATTTCAAGGTGTTAGGTTAGTGTTAACCAGGTATTAACCAGGGAGGAGAACAATTATTTCCTCAGAAAAATTGCACCTCTGGCCTTCTAAGCCATTAGCTCTGGTAGATACCATATGTATTTATCTCATGGTGAGAGCTGCTGTGTGCTGGGATTTCACAAGTCCAAAAGCCCAGTAGTGGTGAGGCTGCAGCAGCTGCAAGTTCCCAGGTCCCAGCAAGGCTGAGCATGTATTCAGTGTAGGCTCCCACGTGAATGCACACATATAGCACATGAGCACATTGCCACACAGAAAACAGCACTCCCACAAGCACAGACAGTGCCAGTGGCCTCACCCTCTTCCACGCTATGGCTCTGGTTTCTCCAGTTGCTGGCATCCCAAACACACCAAACATACGGGCTGATGGCTCTCCAGGGACAGCCTCCAGAGGAGACAGATCTGGAGGCTTCATTTCCCTGACTTGGTTGTTGTGGTTTCTCCACTTGCCGGTGTTTTCTGTGCTCATCTGTGTCTGTGGAGGTGAACCTTTGATCACATAACTTTATGTTAGATAGAGCTTAAAATGTCAGGAGCAATTAATGGTTAATGCATTTAAGAACGCTACCTGAACCTGAACCTTCTATGCATCACTTCCTTTTGATATTCACAGGTTTTCCCCTTTCTGCAAATTTAGGAACTTCAGAGAATTTTGTTATAGATGGAGCCCATTTCAAATAGCTTGTAGCATTTTAATGTTGCTGAGACAAGCTCAGGTAGATGGAGCATGGCTGCTGGGCAGATGTCTGCAGAAAAGCCAGCCTATGAACCAGTGGCAGCTATGCTCCAGGGAGTGAATGTAGGGTGCTCAAAAGCCCACACATGACTTTCTTAGTGTAGGCTGTACAGAATTTGTTTTATGTTTATATCTTTTCCTCCAGCTTCTCAGAGTAATGTGCACAGGTTGGTGTTTTTAGTGTTGGTGGCTGCCTTAGAGCATGGAAACACCTAAAATACCCTTTTTGCATTATCAGTGCATAGTCTGCCTTCTCTTCCCTTGTTTAGCCTGTGGTTTTTTTTCTGTTCTTCCAGATCAGAAACCTCTTTGGTTTTTTGGGGGGTTTTATTTATTTTTTTTTAATTCTAATTAGTTTTAAGGCTTGGGTTACCTCTTTTCTTTCCAAGAGACTCCTGTGTTTCTGCAGATGCAAAATTCTGGTGCATAATTACATGCAGCCTTTTCTCCCTGGCTCCCATCCCTCCCAAACCTCTCCCGTCCCACCCTCCCTCCCCTTTTGTCCTTCCCTTTGTCTCCCCCTTGCCTTCCCTCTATTATCTTTCCAGACTGCTAGAGCCTATGGAGACAACAATGATGCTGCAGCAGTGCAGAGCTGCCGGCAAGGGAAGGAGTTGAAATCTTCCACAGAAGACACTGGACAGCACAAGAGCCCTTCTTTGAAGAAGAGTCCAAAGGAAGGCAGAAAGGTGGATGGAGCAGTGGTCTCAGCAGTGGAGGAAGAAGAGGAGCCTGCTAAGGATAAGATGCAGCAGAACAGACCTCAATCACAGCAGCCAAGCACAGGTCCAGCTTCCAGGGCTGCTCATGGCAGCAGCACCTCCATTCCTTTCATTGACTGCAGTGATGTAGATAGCGAGTATGATCTCCTCAGAGGACAAATAACCCGGTCATATTCCCAAACAAATGACAATTATGAGGGTGATTTGACCAGTGGTGCCTATATTCACTACAGAGATGAAAATCGCAATAGAACTAGATATAGGGACTCCTCAGCTTCTCTAAAGTCTTCCCAGTATCTCTCTGAAGAGTACCTTGATGATAATACAGCTAATCTCTCCTTCTACACTGGGGGAAGCCCCAGGATGCCAAGGCATAGCTCTCTGGTTGACGAAATGTTTAGAGGGCCGGGAAGCCGTAGTCCGCTGGCCACTCCATTGCCTCCCAGCAGCAAAGAGTCCAGCCCTAACATGAGCCTGAGTAGAGCTGGCTCTCAGGGTTATGTCTCAGAAAATGGGCACGACGGCAGGGCGAGGACTGGCCAGGAGGACAGCCATGCCACTAACTGCCATGGGTATTGCAGATATTCTCCAGGCTCTCAACGGCCTCGTGCACAGAAAACCCATAATCTCTGCAATAAGTCAGTTACAGATCCATTTATCCTAAGCCAGATATCCTCAACCCCTGGGCAGGAGTATAGATCAGAGAGATACTGCAAAGGAGGTGGGGTGGCTAAGATGTCTTCTCCAGAAGGCAAAATGATGGCAAATGGTATGCCAGCTGGGGCACAGTCAAAGCAGAGCCCAGTGATGCAGTCGCTGCGTGCCAGTGGCGTGATGGATCACATGGCTGCCATCCAGATGATGGAGGGCTCCACCAGCAGTGGCACGGAATCCAGTGATTCTGACTCAGAAGTCATTAATCCCTTCACTCACCCCCTGGTGTTTGGAAACCCCGTTGTGCTGAGCTCCTCTCCCATGCCTAGAAATAAGTACTCCTTTGGAAGCCTTCAGCTTGATGAGGAGGTAGAGGAGGATGTGTCTGTCGGCCTCAGTGATGAAGATGGTGTGCAGGTCTTCAGCTGCTAGGCACCAGCGTGTGTGAGACCAGGGGATACTGTGGTTGCTCAGTGGTGTGGTTGCATCTCCTGGGGTTCATGATGAGTGGCTGGTGATAATTTCAGGTGCATGGGCTATTTCAGACATCATTGTTGTACAGGCCAGCCAGAGGGAAAGGATGCTAGAACACAGTAATAAGTCTCAGTGATGCTTAACAGTTTGCATCTCCTCTGAAAGGCAGGAGGAGAGGAAAATTATTACTGATTTAGGTACCTCTGTAAGACTTTATACACTCCTCTTCTTTGTGTGAAGTCTTGTTTTAGGTATATGTTGTAACTGCTTTGATATCTGACTAGTTATTTTGACAAAACAAACAATCAAATCAAGTAGGTACATTGTGCTCTTTTATATGTCTGTTACAATCTTTTTCTCTCCATAAAAGGAGAGCAACTTATGAGTGCCTCAACAGAGTTAGGAGAAAAAAAAAATTAACTTGCAGCCAAATGCAGGCAGCTTGATATTCAAGACCAGGACTTGTTGAAATCTTGAAATATGCTGGAAATTTTTTCATAGCAAGAATGTGTCTGGTCTGCTCTTCTTCATAACTCATTTTATAATCTGATGAACTGAGGGTACAAATCAGGCATGTATAGAATTACAGTATTGTCTTTTTCTTCAGTGGGTTAAACAGGGTGATTTGGTGATGGAGATTTTGAAATGCCAAACTCTTCCTTGGGCAAGAAAAAGAACAGGATGAAAGATACAATTCAAGTGAAAAAAGCTGTGATCAAAACAGCTGTAATGAAGAGTGATATGAGTATTACTTGCAAGGCAATCCTTTCTATCCTTTATCAGTTAAATATATATTGCAAGAAATTTTTTAATTGCTTATACTTCCAGTGAAATCATTATAGAGACATCTGAGTTCTGTGGTGGGTGGTTTGGAGATGGTGGCTGTTTAATTTTTTGCTTTGATCACAAAAAATCTTTATCTGTGCAGGATCCAATTACTCTGTCATAGGCTACTTTTTTAGTAGAGCCACCTCAGAAATTTTTCATCCCCTGACAAGAGAATGGTAGGAGTAACTGCGCTCCAGGGTGATTGTCTTCTGTTCTGTCCATAGAGTGGATATGCACAGAAGGACAAAGAGAATAATTCTGTGTATACTTCCTTTTCACAGGCTAAAAGAATTGAGAATTAAGGTATCCTAATAAAATCTGATGTTAGTTTCTCCAAGTAAAGTAAGAAAATCAAGACGAAAGGTCCTCTGTATGGAAACTGTTGTACAGTTACTGGAGCTGGGAGACAAGATGTGCTCTTTATAATTGGCCTTATTTTTAACTTTTATATATTTTTCTTGTGTAAGAATGAAAATAAATCCCAGAATTTTAACTGATGAACAGCAGCATTGACTGAACTGCAGGTCACTCCAAGTGATCTGCATCATGCAGTTCATGCATGCATCAATGATTAATCCATTCACATAATTACCGATGAAAAAGTTACAGGACACTTTGTAAATTTAGACAATATAAAAATTTTCAAGATTGTTTTTACAAAAATTATAAAATGAGAAGTCTTTTTAATTTTTCTAATGCCTTGGTCTATGCACACTTTAACAGAGTTTAATCTGAGTGAAGGATATTTAAAAATATACCTACAGTAGTTAGACATGTGTTGTTATATACTTTACTGTTTTGAAAGTAAAATATATCTTGTGTAAATATAAGTATCAACTCTCTCATCTCCTTTAAAGTGTTGGTTTTCTTAGAGATTAGATACCTCATTCTTGAACAGGAATCATTTAAAGCATCTCTTTAGATACTGATATTTTGGGGACAGGGAATACTCTCATTTATTCCTGTAGTTAAAGGCATGAGTCTACAAACAGTAAGATTGATAATTAGGGAAAAGCTTGCTTGTATATGATTCTAAAAGAGGATGGTTTGTGTTTTGGATTTAGAATAGCTGTAAAATAATTGCCTTGAAGTTCATAAGATGAAATGTCAGTAGTTGAAGCTCACATCAGCAAATAGTGTGAGCATGGGGAAGTGGGTGCATGACTCTCCTTCTGATTTATTTTTTATTGCCTGTGCAGCAAAAGTATCAGTAGGTATAAAATAAAGTAATAGCAGTTTGGACAGATGAATTAATTGCTTCATTAGCCAGTAAAATTAGAGTTCAAGTAATGGACTTCCAGCAAAAGGATTTGCAGTCATTTCTGCTACTTAAAAAAAGTGAACAGATTTCACATTCACTTTGGATGCAAGTGAATATAAAATTTTATAAGTAGTGTTTGCTATTTCGCATCCTTTCAGATACTGTTTCCAGGCCTGGTTCTTCTCTCATATGATTCAGATACTAAATTCATAACTTTTTAAGAACAGACCCACTGGGTAGCTGGAGTTAGCCTAGTTGCTAATAAAGTATCTCAACAGCTTTTCTTTTCCCACTCCAATATTATCCTCAAAAATGCAATATGAGGAGTTTTCTGTCTTCTGGCATTTTTTCAGCTTTGAGTGGTGAAGTAGTTGTTGTTTTAACACATGGAATTCTTCCAGTTAAAAGAAGTAAAGTTTATAAATTACAGAGGAAATAATTTCATTTAGGATTAATTACTTCTGCAGCATTCTAATGCCAGTGAAGCTCCGTTTAATATCAGCAGACAAGGTTGTAATTAAAGCAGCCTGTGGGCCAAATTCCTCCGCCAGACATGTGGTTCATGTCTGAGCCCTTGCCAAGAAGTGAGTGGTGAAGTGAGAAAGGAGTTTTAAACTTACGTTTTTAAACAGGATCAGATCCCTTAGAGTTCATCTGGGAATTTGTTTCTGTGGGACAATCAAAATGACCTTGCAGAAAAAGAACAGAAACCTTTAGGGCAAGACTGCAAACGAGATGAGATGGAGGAATTCTTGTCCTGGCTCACAAAGTGCTCATGGTAAGAGGAGCTTGTCAGTTCTAGTTCGTTGTTGCAAACATTTATTAGTTTGAATGCAGTGTACAACAGCAGTGATCTATGCAGTGATCTTTGTCTCAAGTGTAGCAGGTAGTTACAGATGGAGTAACTAACAGATTCTCCCACCAATTCCAGTAGATTTTGGAACGTGGCTGATAGTACTTTTGATTCACTGGTCTAAAATTTTTATTGTCAACAATGAACTTCCAGTCCCATACTCACCAAGTGCCCAGATATCCTTAGGCAGTTGGTACAAATGAGGCAGCTCAATCCCAGCAAGACTGAGCAGCTATGTCCAGTCTGAGCTGTGTAGTCCTGAATCACCCATCTCCTGTCTTTCCAGAGGATGTGGAGGAAGCCTCTTGTTGAGTTGATGAATTCAGCTCTGTCCATGTAGTTGGGTAAATATGGAGGCGAGTTGCAAAAGCAGTTAGGGGTGTGACCATAATAATGTGCAGATCTAGGTAATCTCTGGATAAAAGACCCTATTTTTAATTAAATTAATTCTTTGCTATTCCAACTACTTAACCACATTCAGCTGTCCTCTGCAATGGCAGTGGAAAGGTCATGTCAGACAATTTTAAGGTTTCTCCTATTCAGCAGCAGCTCAAACTTGTGATCCCAAGATCCTCTTGGGATCTTCTAGATTTTTTTTTCATGGTAGTATTTCCTAGAATCTAGTTCTCCTCAGTGACCCAGGATATTAAATCTGTCAATAAATAGATGAAGGAAAGATGGAGAGTGGCAAGTTGTTGTGGGAGCCAAGAACTGCATAGGATATTCCGGGTATGGAGCTTTGGACAATTGCTACCTGAATGGCCTAGACTGCTCTGTTTCCAGTGTAAGTCCTTATCCCCTATCAAACACACTCCTTGTGCATGGCAGAGAGGAGTGTTCTCTAAAGATGATTTACACCAGGTGCTGCCATTTCACCCGTGGCTCATAGCCTGCCTAACAGGCACCATCCTACTAACCATTGCAGCGCACACTGAGTACAAATTATATCAAAGAAAAACTCGAGAAATGCCCATAGGTAAAAAATTCCAACATG